TAAAACGTAGCTGCAAAACGAGAGACCAAAATTGCCCCGCCACTTACTGGCGCTTAAGGGACAGTGGAGGAGTGGATCCTCATAACCCCTGTACAATCCCCATCTATACCCCTATAAAATTCCCTATGCCAATGCAGGCATCAAGTTTTGGGATTGCGCGCATGTGGCTCGGCAACCGTGGGTTCAGGGTTTAGGGTTGATGGGTTCAAGTGAAGAGGTCTAGGGTTTATGGCTTCAAGTGACAGGGAGTAGGGTTTATGGGTTCAAGTGAAACTTCGAAACTTCTGTCAAGAGTTCCTGAAGAATACATGTATGTAATCTTGCCTGATCCAACCCCAGAGAAACAACCAAGAACTCTCAGCCCTCGAGCCTAAGCCACAAACCCCACCGCCATAAAATTTTGCTCATATGAGCCCCCTGTACCCTCAAGGCATTCCTGTGCAGATTGGCTGAGAGTGCCCCAAACCTGGCGCTGTCAACCAAAGTGATCAAGTTTCAGCCCTAGTTGCGCTAATTACCACTTATGGCTTTTTGTTATGTTGTAGTAGAATTTGGTCTACCGTCTGATAGTTGCCTTCCTGATGCCACTCATCAGCCTGTATTTGCATCTAGCAGAAAAGCTAATAATTAGTATTGTAGCTGCTCTGGCGTTTTATTCTCGCTACAGTTGTCATGATCGCTCTCATTGCAGTCATCATCGTTGGAACTATCATTGTTCTGGCAGTCCTCATATGAGCTGTAGTCTAAACTCCTTAAAGGGGGGTTATATAGGGGATTATATACGGAACTACTATAGGGGTTAGCAAGGGGGTTCCTCTGAGTTTAGAATAGCTCTTTTTCATAGCTCTTATGACCATTGCGCTGCAAACGAACGTTGTTTCGAACGACCGCAAGCATACGTCTGCCTTGGTTTTTTGAGTTTGCCATGGGCCTTCCTGTTTAGGGTTTGGGGTCTAGGTTGCCTGGAAGTTCCACGGAAGTGTATAGTTACCCTAAACCCAAGCCCCCAAAATCCTAAGCCGCTATGCTTGGATGGAGTTGCAGCAGCTAAAAACAAGTACCAAATATTGCAGTAAGAATGCGAAGAGGCAAATGGAAAAGAACATGGAAAATGACATGCAAACTGGGGTTATGTGGCGCTTACAAAACACAGAGCTTATTGAAGGTCCCTTTTTCGGGCCCGATCTTTTGTTTGAAGGACCGCATGCGATTGCACCCTAAGCGCTCAACAGCCTACAAAAGGAGTGCAATGCCGGCATGATGGCAGACGGATATACGAGGACTACGGGTAAGATGCAACCTGCCTGCAACATCGGCTTCAGGGTTGAGGGTCTTACATCGGGTTTCGACGTCTTGCATCTCATGATCGTGGCTGCCGGCAACATCCCAAACCCTACCTGCACCCTGCTGAACTATCCCTAGTTTGATGGGTGCATACCGCACAAATAGAGGACACAAACCCCCCAAATACGGGTTCTGTATGGTCCAGGTAAACCTTGTCCCCATCCCCGCAAAGGCCCAACCATCACTTGCAACCAAACCCTTAATCCTGAACCCTACACCCTAAACCTTAACCCGGATAGATACAAATTGTATAGGGCAAAAGTTTAAACGGAAACTCCATCAAAAGTCACCCAAAACCTGACCAAACGTCGCTCAAAATTCCCGACCTGAACCCTATGCAATTCGTATAAACCCTACACTGCCCTACACCCTAAACCTTGAACGTACACCCGAAATCATGTTTCGGGTTGGAGCGCCCACCTGCAGTCAGGGACGACGGTTTGGGATTCAGGGCGGAAGCTCATTGGTAGCTGTGCCCTGTGAAATCTCTGCACAAGGGGGTGTTGCCAAAACGTTTAGAGGGTTTAGTGTTTAGGGTTTGAGGGTTAAGGCTTAGGGCTTTGACCAAACTAGGGGTACCAGTTTGTGTCCCCATAAACAGAACTTCAGTATTTCATGGGTCTATATTGTGGTCTTCCTTTGTCCAGAATCTACCATGAATTCTTTACACAACAATGCCACCCTAAACCCTAAACCCGCAAAGATGCCCAAACTCATTCACCCACTGCACTCAGTTAGTACAGCTTTGCATCCTCAACCTTGAGCCCAAACTGCGATTTCTTGGAGTGAAGAAAGTCATTATGGACCGAAATCCTCATACAATCCACATTAGTGTAAAAAACAGTTGTTATGGGCCGTCGAAGCTCTAATCCAAAAACCCTAAACCCTATACCCGAAACTCTGTACCCTAAACCCTAAACCCGGAATACAGCTGCAAGGTCTATGATGATAGCGCAGAATGGCCCTGGCATCACCAACTTTGTGACGATCTTCGGCTTGGTTTGGACCTAGATCCTACCTGGGAGGTTTGGGGTTTAGGGCTTAGGGGTTAGGGTTTAGGGGTTAGGGTTTAGGGTTTTAGGGGCTAGGCTTTAGGGGTTACGGGTTACGGGTTTAGGCTTTAGTAGACCCTGGATGTCCTACTTTTTTGGGACATATCCTATACATGTGCACCAAAAAAGAAGGACATGCAGGGTACAGGTAGAGACCGTCAACTCTGAACTTCACAACCCAAACCCCTTAAACCCTAGACAGTGTAAACCCAAAGCCATGACTTGGAAACCCAGTGGTACCCTTTTGCCCTTTTTGGGTATTGGGTTCTTTAATATAACATACCAACAGGGAAAAAGGGCACCCTTATTGTAATAAGGTTACTGGGCTACCAAGATGAAGCCAAGATAACATCCGAATCCTGACTCGCACATCCAAAATCTTGGAGCTCTTACACCCTAGAAATTGAAAAATGAGGCCCCTCATCCGTGTATATACACTTGGGGGCAGTGGTCGCGCTTTAACTGGTTGTAGCTATTCTAATCCTGGTAATTGGAGCAAACTTTTGTGGTAACTAGTCTACTGATATATGTTGGTTCCCTAAACCCTAACCAAATTTTCTCGGCTCCCTCAGCTATGATCCCTACACCGATCCCCATTTCCATTCCAGACTAAGCAACTGGAAGAGGTGGCAGGGACGCTTTGCAAATAAGTATACTGTACTCGAGTTTTTCTAGACCCTAAACCCTAAACCTAGCATGGCAGTCTATTCCACTGGCCACCGAGAAGACACCTTCCCGAGGTCCTGGCAAACATGCTTTCCCTGAAAACGAACCTCCAAGCACGCGGTTTAGGGTTTAGGGTTTACTGATCCGGGTGTTAGGAGGCAATAGCCTCCCCTTTATATTGAACCCCCCGCCCCGGTAAGTCTGATGAATCCCAATACCTTATGACATATACTCCGAAGTCCCTCAATGAGAATACTGAATATCAGCAGGGCGGGGTGTTAATACTAGAGGGAGCCCCTACAAACTAAACTTTAAACCCTAGATTTTAAGGCTCACCTTGGGTTTCAGGGTTGTTTGATTCAGGGCCGAATGGCGTAGGGTTAAGGGCTTGGGGCTTCTATCATAAGTTGTCTTTGGGAACCCCAGCCCTAAAAGCAATTTTAGGTGTTGGTTTACGGGGTTGGGGTTACCAACATCCTCTTCTTCTGGGAAAACATTGTAGTCTGGTTTGCGTGCTATCTTTTCTTCGTCCCCTTAGCCCGAAACCCTGCTCAGACCCCTCGCCCAGTTCATGTTCATCTTGCACTATAGATTATGCCAGTGGTAATACAGTGAATGGAGGAAATCCTGCAGCACCTAGGAACCTGATAACATTCTGATTCCAAGGGTAGAGGGTATACATCCACAGCACGTAAAAGGATACCGTAAGTGGGACCTCCTCGGCCGCAAGAATCCCCTTCGCATGTGAGTCCCTCCAGGATTGCCCATGTGTTTGAGTAGGTCCTTGCTCAGTCTGACCCTAAACCCTAAACCCTAAACTGCTTGTGCCCGAGCTGGCAGATCCTAGACGCCTGCCTAAGCCCTCAAAGCACCTGAACCTTAAATTCTAAACCCCGAACTCGCCCTTAGGGTTTAGGGTTTAGGGTTTAGGGC